TAAGAAAATCATTAATACAACTCCAATTATGCAGTAAAAAATCAATAAAAGTAGGTTATATGTATATTAGAAGAAGGTATATAGAAAATATTAAAGAAGTACTTGAACTATTATTAATTTTATTTGAATTACAATAACTTATAATGAAAAGAATAAATTTTTTATTTATAAAAGAAATTAGTACCATCGAATGTTAATTGTAATGGGGCTTTATATGGAATTCCAAATTCATTAACAAAAGAGGCGTTTGCATAGATTGTGTCTTTTATAGTTATTATTCCATAACAATTATGACAATGACCAAATGCAACTAATTTAGGATGAAAAGAATCCACAAAAGAGTTTATCTTATAGTTTCCTCCTTTAAAAGTTTTCCAATTAAATGTCCAATGATCAACAACCATAGTGTCCATTATGTCATAAGGAGGTTCATGGGAAACACAAACCAATACTTGATTTTCATTTATATCAAGATGAACTGGTTTACGAAATTTAAAAAGAGACCCATAAAACACAATGTTCTCTATTACTACACTGGTATTAAGCAGTAAGTGAATATTTTCACATTCTTCTATTAACCATTTTTCACTTTCTGGTAAATGAACATTCATCTCTCGTTCATTATTTCCTAAAACAACTATTTTGTGTTTTGCCTTTTGCTTGTTTAACCATTTTCCAAAATTTCTAACACTCTTTTCATCTCCATTATTCGTAAAATCACCACAATGAATCAATATATCACATTGAGGAATTGATACAAATCTATGAAAACCGTGTGTGTCTGAGGTAATTACAATATTCAAATTTATTGAATTATCTTTTTGTTGTACAGACATTTTTTACTAACACTTTTAAGTTGATTATTTTTAAATTTTCATTATTTTTAGTGGAACATTCTCTGAACGATTTGCTTAAAAAAACAAAAAAAAAAACAAAAGGAACTTAAAGTATTAATTAAAAAATATGATTTTCTCATTATCACAAAATGAAAATAAAAGATTAAAAAGAAAAGAAAGAAACAAAAAAAAGTACTATGTCAGAAGTAATTCAAGATGACCTTACACCTGATTTGACCACCCAACCAGGGAGTAATACTTTTAAACAAAAAATTACAAATTTCTATAGTAAGATTAGTGGATCAACAGAAGAAAATATCATTAATTGTTGTTATAATGGAGATTGTATAGGAATAATGAAATACAAAGACAATGGAGAAAATTTGGATATTAATGATAAATGTGGAAATACATTATTACATATTGCTGTCAAAGGTAGACAAGGGGATATGATTCAGTTCCTTGTTAATTTGGGTATGGACATCAATTGTGTAAATGCTGAAGGAATTACACCATTAATGTATGCAATTGAATTAGGTTTTGATGATATTTCTTTAGACATTCTTCAAATTAAATCATTAGATTTAGAACATTGGGATCATATGGGAAGAACTGCACTTCATTATTGTGCATTATATGGAAATGCTGTGATGGCTAATATACTATTAGAAAATGGAATTGATGTTGATAAATGTGATATTAATGGGTATAATGCTTTACATATTTGTTGCGAGTGTAATTGTTTTAACGTTGCTAAAGTATTATTAAGATGGCATATTGACCTAGAAAAGAAAAATAAATATGGATTTATACCATTAGGAACTGCTGTGAATCATCAAAACCGTAACATGGTACGTTTAATTACAGCAGCAATGAGAGGGACTGACCACAAAAACTTTGAACAAAAAGTTGATGATATGCTTGGTTTGACTTGTGATATAAATCATTACAATAAGGTCCTTGAAGAAATGCCACTCTATTTTAAGGGAGGTCAAAATGACTTTGAAGAGATTCGTCCTGAATAATTGGAATTTTGTTTGTAAATAGATATTTATTAAAAGGAAAAATAAAAAATGGTCATTCTTCATTCATAACACTATTAAAATTTTTAGTATTTATAATAAGTTTTATATGTCGTAACAATGATGTACATATCACTAACCCTTAACTCATGTTTTTAATCACAAATTTGGAGGTAGTTATTAAAAAAATAAAAACAATAAGAAGATAATAAGGGAGTTTTATTTTAATTTTTGATTTAAAATAATATAACAATGAATATGTCATATACTTTATTTCTTTAAGGAGTGTTCATGTTTTGACTATCTTGGTAATATAAAATTATTTCATCTTTTCAAGGAAAGTCAAAAAGGAAGGAGAGAGTATAAAAACCAATTTATTTATATACAAACCAATTATCAATTTTTAATTATTGAAGAAGAAGTTATTCCAGTTTATTTAAAAGATTTAATTTCTAGTATTAGTACATCGAATAAATTATTATTTGGGTTGTAAGGAAAATTAAAATAAAGAAGAAACACAAATTTGTTTTGTTATAGAAATTTGTATTATAAAATATAAAGAAAAAGATGATATTGATTTTTTTTAGATACAAAACTATTTTAATCGATTAAAATGGTAGACATAATTAAGAAACAATAAATAAAATCATCTATAATATTCTAGTTATATGGAATATAGTTCTATTTGATTCTATTTAATTCTAAGTACGAAATAAATTGCCTATTTTGATTCAATAAGAGCCAATACAGACAAATAATTGACTTGTTTGTGAACAAGGTTAATTTAGATAAATAAATTTAATTAATTTATATCAAATGTAAAGGGATATTATCAAAAAGAAAAATTTGGTATATGTCTAGACTTATTTGAATGGAATATTCTTTAGAAAACAATAAACAACCCATTTATTTAAATGAAAATCTAATATAAATTTATTTGAACTTAAATTGTATCAGAAGACATGATTCAATCAATTTCATTATTATTAATTACTATTATTAATGCTTTAATTTGTTGGTATTCTTATTTTAATAAACTACCAACTTTAAAATTCATTAGTAAACCACCTTTTTGTATATTTTTATCTTTATTTACTTATAATGTTCTTGGTATATCTTCTTGGCATTTTATTTTGGGGTTAGTCTTAAGTTTTCTTGGAGACTTCTTTTTATTATTTACAGAACATATATTATTTTTAATTGGAGCATTTTCATTTTTATTTGCACACGTCTTTTATTCAATTGGTTTTAATACAACACTTTCTGTTTGTTATATTTTCTTTCCTTTCACAATATTTGTTATTACTTAAAGCACAAAAAATGTATTTAACTCATATTCTTTTAGTCTGATGCTCAAATTAATTATCTTTGTTATATTGTTGTTGTATTACCAATTCTTGGAGCACTTACTATATATCATCTTGCTCATAAAGAACAGAAAGGAACACTTGTTTATGGATGTTTCCTTTATATGTCTTTTGTTGCTATAGGAATGTTTAATTGTTTTAGAACATTAACAGACCCTTCTTGGAATTTGCTTTCATCATTAATATGTTGTGGCAGTTATTTCATATTTTTCATTAGTGATTTGTTAGTAAGTTTCAATGAGATAGTAAAAACTACCTGGCTAGTTTCTTTATTAATTATAGTAACATACCATATTGCACAAATTGGTATTATTTGTGGATTAGTATTAAATATGAAGTATGACCATTTAATCGCTTTATTAAATTAAGTTGTTCTATAAATTAAAAAAGAAGTTTTGTTTTTTATTTTATCGTTTTTTTTTAAATGAAAGAAACAATAAGAAAATAACATCAAAAGCATTAACTGAAGAACTACTTCATCACAAATTACTAATTTTATAAATTGATATATAACCCCCACCTTTTTTAGTTGTTTGAAACATTTTACTTTTCAAAGAAGCAGAACTAATTTATTTATTCTCAAGGAGAATGAACACCGATAGTGTGAAAATTGTAATTCCAATCAATTGTTCTGTTTCTCAGTTGATTAATCAAGTCAACTATGAAATGAACAAACGTGGAAATTATCTTTCTTTCACAACAATTCCAAAACAACTCGAAACACTTCCACTTTCAGAATTTCTTTCCATAACAAATCGTTTAAGCATAGAAGAAACAATAGAATCTCCAAGTGAATCTCCAATTGATAACTCTTCTATTAAAACCCAATCCCCAACAATCCCTGAAAAGAAAAGTATTAAATTAAAAACAAAAACAAGAAAGTCTGGGGAATTTTATCTCCCTCAACAACTCGCTACTTGTCATTATTGTAAGAAAAGAAAACCTGTATCTTTTCAGTGTCTCAAATCTCCATCTCATCGTTTTTGTCAAAGTTGTTTAAAAAAAACTAGATGTTCTGGTATTTGTCCTATTTGTACTGACTGTTGTAGTTGTTCACGTTGTCGAACTGCTCGTCAATCAAATTAAACTGTTTAAAAATTCTTATTATTATTTTTTTTTGTTAACAAAGTTTTTGAAATAAATTGAGTAATTAAAAGTCTGATAAAAAGTCTAAGAACTTATAAATAATAAAGGATAATTTGTGATTTATAATGCCATTGAAAATTACTGTTATCCAATCAGATGTACTCTCTACACTTGAAGAAACTCTTCAACACATTTCTTGTTTGATAAAAAATAGTGAAAAGAGTGATTTATATTTATTACCTGAGGCATTTACAACTGGATTTGATGTTGATTTACCTAAAATTGCACATAAAGAAGGAGGAAAACAAATAGTTTTATGGATGACTGAAATGGCACAAGAAATGAAAGCAGCTATTGTTGGGTCAATTTTTGTTGAAGACAACAACAAATATTTTAATAGAATGTATTTTGTGGATGAAACGGGTGTTATTGCTCATTATAATAAAACCCATTTATTTAAATTAATGGATTGTGAAACAAGTCTTACTGCAGGGACAGAAAAGGTAATTGTTTCATGGAAAGGGGTTAACTTTTTATTATGTATTTGTAATGACATTCGTTTTCCCGCATTTTTAAGAAATCTTAAACTTGAGTATGATGTTATTTTATGTTCAATTAATTGTAATGACATGTTTAATCATTCTATTCCATTATTATGTGGTGGAAGAGCTTGTGAGAATTTATGTTATTGTGTTATGGCAAACAGAGTTGGTACTGATCATTTGAATTCTAAATATCTAGGCAACTCATGTGCTTTTGATTGTTGGGCAAATCAATTACTAAAAGCTGAAGATAAACCTGTAGCTGTTACATTTAGTATTGACAAAGAATTATTAGACAAAATTCATATCAAATATCCAATTAATCAAGACTTTGATATGTTCCAATTAACTAATCCATATCGTCAAGTCATTTATGAAAAGAAATAATTTTACTATTAATGAAACTAATTTAATGGTAAACAAGTATTTTATCACAAGTTTATTTAATTTAAATAAATTCGTATTATTGAAAAATAATCATTATTAAATAAAATTACCTATTCTTTTTTTCTCCTTTAACTAATCCAACATATTATTAAGTTTAATTTAAATTTATAACCTATTGTCACGGTTTAAAATACCTCAAAAATTAATTGTAAAAAAATGTTTTATTGTTTTCATTTATGTTTATTTATTAATCCATATTAAGTAACTTCTTTAATAGATAAACCATACCTTTACATACTTTTTATTAAATTGTATTTCTTTTTAATAAAATATTCTTCTTCGTTAGTCATTATTTTCTTATTAAAGAGTAATAAAGTTGGTAATTAAAAAAAGAAGTGAATTAAATTTTATTTGTTTAGTTAGTCTAGTGAATTAATAATACTTTCAACAACAACTTCGTGTTATTAAGATAATAAAAAAGCTGGTACAAGGAAAAAATAAAAATATTTAAATTGGGAAGAAGACATCTTTTTCATCAAATAAGAGTCTCAAACTATTTTGAAGTATATTGGTTAGATGTATTAGGTTTAGAAACACATTGTTCTAGTGGTGGAATTTCATATTCTGAAAGAGCACTACTATTTATTAAAACTGTTTGGTTTCTTCCAAATAAATTTTCAACTGCACTTTGAAAGGCAATTCCAATTTCTATTAAACGTTCCATAGGTACTGTCTCTCCTGAGGTAAGAATAATCGAACTAATTTTAACTAGTTGTTCAGTTAATTTTGCACGTTTTGTTTTTCTTATTGTAAATGAATATCCTGAAGATCTTAAAAGATATAATAATCCATTACAAATTTGAGCTTCACGAGTTCTGTTATACTGTTTATTATTCATGTTGTCAACAGAAACAGGTTCTTCACTCAAAGTTTCCTTCATAAATCGTGAATTAAGTTTTGCAATTGATGATTGGTCATAAACTGTATTATTCAGAACTATAGTCTCTGGTAATAACATTTTTATTGTTTGTTTTGTTCGTTTACTTTTTCTGAAAGTAACACTTGCTCCTGCTTTTATTATTAATGTATATATAACGCTATTTGTTACTGTACTCTCACTATTTCTTGATATTCGTTTTCTTTTCCTTAAGGTTTCTTTATCAACAATAGATTTAAGTATTATTTTTCTACTGCAACCACCACTTCTCTCTTCAGACATTCTTATTTCACAATGTTAGTTCATCTCAGAATTACTTTTTAAAGAAGATTATTTGATTTTATAAACTATTTTTATAATATAAGACATTAAATCTGACTTGCTTAAAAATACATTAACATAATACTTAACACAAACATTCCGTCTCAAGTAATAGTTGGGTATATGTCTTTGAACTTTTTTTAAAGGGAATAAAAGGGACATAGTTATCTAGTGAATAAATTAGAATTAACTTATATACAACTAATTACAATATATAAATAAAATAATAAAAAGTAAAAGATATTTATTCTTGTTAGTGGAGTTTATTTGTAGTGACAAAATTTATTTTTAATTAAAATGGTACTAACCAACGATTGAAAGTTTAGTATTTGTTTTATAAGACACTATTCTTAATATTTTTTA